CGGGGCCACCCACAACAGTGGTAGAGGAGCTGGGGAGCAGGGGACCCATTAAGGATTCTCACTTCATTGGGGCCTGGTTATATGAGGTTTCCTCTTATATAGGCAGCCTGAGGTTAAATGACAAGTAAAGCATGTCTGAGGGCTGCAGTTGGTCCCCTGCCACCACCCAAGCTTGGAACAAGTTGATGGAGAGAGCTCAAAGACCTTCCCTGCAGGAGCAATAGAGGTCAGGGCAGGAAGGTATTAACAGAGCTGAGTAGGCAGCTGAGGAGTGCAGCAGTGATCCAAGTTGGGGCACAATGGTAGATCTGTGTGGGTAAGCTTACATAGCACCTGGCTGTCACTGGGGCTATTGACTGGTTGCTTTAATAAACCAGCTTTTATAGACACAGAATCCAGGTCCTTCAACAGACAATGCAGTAAGTCACACCACAAATAGGAAGAGCTCCTGCTGTTAAGAGCTACTCCTGCCTGCTCACTCCCAAGATGCTTATCCAGGCACTTCATCAGTGGAGAACAGGATAGATTTAAATAATGCTGGGGAAAGTCACTGCATATGATAGAGTATCTCCAACCTTCCCTGCTGAGACACCAGGCAGGGTGTGGCACACCCACTATGCCCAACACCTGACCGACCTGCGGTGTTCTCAGTCTGTGCAGCCAGATGCCTGCGACACAGATTTCGACGCCGTTTCTACCATCAGGGGGGAGCTGTTCTTTTTCAAGTCTCGCTACGTGTGGCGGCTCCGGGGGGGAAAGCTGCAAGCTGGCTACCCCGCCCTGGCTTCCCGCCACTGGCAGGGGATCCCAAGCTCTGTCGACGCAGCCTTCGAGGATCCTCTAGGAAGTATCTGGTTCTTCCAAGGTAAGCGAGATAAGAGCAAGTTTGGAGCAGTAGAAAGGATGGGAGTCTGTAGAATGGGGAAATGCAAGACTCAACAGGTTTCAGGGAATCCAGACATTCTTGGCAGCTTTGAGACAAGGTCCTAATAGGATGGTCCCTTTATCTCCCTCTCGTTAGCTGTGGGGAAGGGGTGCTTTTACATTAGATAACACCAAGATACCATATTTTCCTCCTCTAGAACACAAGCAGTTATTGGGTAAAAGGCTCTGCCTAACAGGCCTGAAATCATGTACAGTAGAGCTGTGAGGGGTGAAGGCAGCACTTCCTTTCTATCATCTTTTAGATGAAAATTGGTGAAGTGGACCAGGCAGCTTTTTATAAAGTGGCACTGACAAGCTGACAAATATCCTTGTTTCAGTTACTCCAAATCAGAAGAGTTTCACTGATTGACCAAAAGAGTTCTAGCAAGCTCATTTATGTCCCAGTGTTTGTAGCTATTTATCCATTTCTGCATTCTCACTGACTCTACATCTTGACAGATGTAACTCCACTGGCTTCCATGGAGTTGCTCCTGATTTACTAGAATTCCTAACAATAGTCAGGCCATGGCCCTACCCACTTCTGCACCAGCCATCACGGGAGTGTTTGTGCATGGGGGCTCATGGTGGGTGATCTCTCAAAGGGAGTCACAGCCTTCACACCCCTGGCAACACTGAAAGTGTGGTGGGGTGCCTGCATCCTTCTTCCCTATTCCCAGGTGGGGCCTGGAGTGCAACAGCCAGAAAAAAACTCAAAGATCAAACAAGATGCTGTCATTCCGGCCACCACTGCCTAGAGCCAGACCTACTGTATTCTGCAGTGGGTGCCATGACTTTTAAAAACAATGGTGTATGCACTGTTTGCTCATGATGATCCTGAAACTAAGAATGATCATTTTCTGTTTCATCTAGCAGAGCAGGCACTGCCTCAATGCCCTTTCTAAGAGACAAGACTGAAAGCAATTGTTATATCGGTGCCCATTTTTATGTGCCTGGACTCTGCTTCATCAGACCGAGTCTCAGTGCATCAAGTGGCTCAGCAGCCAGCCTTTCTGTACGTGGATATTACTTGTAACCTGACCTGCAGACAAGGGTTTATGCTACAACTGGCAGATGACTCTTACCTACAGCAGTGCTGTGGAGTGTTGCTAAAATGAGAACTTGAGAAGGTGTTACATGCCTACGAGTCATTGTGGAGATTACACGTGTAATCTAGACTCAAAATATTCTCCCACTGTTTCATTTGGGCTACTGCTTGTTAGCTCCTGTAGAATGTCAATGAAAACCACATGCCCAACAGTATAGTTCTTCTTTCCTTCACTATGCATTTTTTGCATATGCAGGTGCATGTACATTTTGCTTCAAGCTTGAGGCTTAGACTTCAGAGCCAGACTTGAAGGCATGAGGAACCCACCTCCTCTCTGAATTCTCTCTTCCACATCAGTCACAGTTTAGTTCATTTTCCTTCTCTCCCCACACCTGGCAGCCTCAGGTCCATAGGCAGAGAGAACAAAATATACCAAGGTGTGGATGAGTTGGGGTTTATTCCTGGCAACAATACGTCATTGATTCCCCACTTCTCTATATCATCAGACTAGCTGGGATAATGCAGTGGGTACTAAATGCCTCTCAGCACACACAGAGCAAAATCCTAACCATGCTCCTTCGAGCAGCCTGCCCACAATAGCCACTTTAGAACAATAACCAGCAGCCAAGTCTTCACCAAATGGAAGGGGAGAGAGAAGCTTATTTTCATGTTACACAGATTCATCACTTGGGACTCTGACCCCATTGGGGTTGGCACCATGTGACAGTGTGGACAGAAAGTACTGGAGACTGAAGTACTCCCTTAATTCTCAAAAGAGGCAAAGGAAAGGCAGCAGGTAGGCAAGTTCTCTCCATATCACCCCTTGACACAACCACAGCCTTTTGTAGGGGTGAGATGAGTGTTTCTTATCCCTGTCCCTTTGATGCCCAGCATCCCAATCACTATCAGCAAAGGGGCCTGTGGTGGTGGTGGTAGTGGTTTCCCTGCCGTGGACAGCTTTCCCTCGACTGGGCTGACATGCTGGCACATCCCACTGCACAGACATTAGACAGGACATTCCCTTCAGTCATGCCTGCCCTTACATGTTCTTCTTTTTTCTCCTCATCAGGCCCTCAGTACTGGATTTATGATGGTGAGAGACGTGTCTCTGGCCCTGCACCTATCACGGAGCTAGGCCTTTCTACTTCTCCCGTCCAGGCAGCCTTGATGTGGGGGACTGAAAAGAACAAGATTTACTTCTTCAAGGGAGGCAATTATTGGCGCTTCAACCCTAGCGCCCGCCAGGTGGACAATGTCTACCCCCGCACAATGGCTGACTGGCGTGGCATCCCTCAGGAGATTGATGCTGCTTTCCAGGATGAGATTGGTGAGTACAGAAAGGAGGAGACACATATCCCTGCATGTGTGTTCTCACCTAGTCCTGCCTCTTCAGTGGGAAGGGAATCAGCAGGATTTGGAGTGTAAGGATCATGTGTAAATTAGCATTCATAAAAGAAACACATGAATGCACACATATGAACACTATGTATACTGAGCATGAAATCAGTGTCCAGTGTGTATGTGACTGATGCATTTGTAATAAACTTTGCAGAAGACCAAGTAATTAAGCGTCTGTAGCCTCCTGGATATTAGCATCCTTTGGGAGAAAATGCAAGGAGAACCATGTAGACATATTTTGTTGGTTAGAGAGACTCTAAATCAATACTGCCCTCCATTCTCTTAGTCACATGAGTTTATATGACTTAGTTTATATAAGCTGTATATGCACTGATCAATGCTTGTATTAATCAGTAATCTAACAAGGTTACAGACTAACACAAGGAAAACTTCCACACTGTAAACACTCCACAAAGAAAAAATGCATACCAGCATTATGAACAGCACTTCCCTTTGCTTTGGAGGATGCTCAGAATAGCAGAGAAGTACTGTCATTATCAGCTGGTTCCCCACACCGGGGTTCTTTGCTAAAAAATGGCAGAGCAATGCCACACCCTCTTTATCCAGAAATATGTTGGGAGCACTTGACAAGAGATGCATTAACCCTAACATCTTTTCCTTCCAAGGGAGTCCTTCATAATCAGCATTATGCCTGAACTCTCAGTAGTGGCTTGAATCTCAAGGGAAGGCCATCTCTCAGTGGTAACAGATTCCCATCACCAGCATCCTACACCTACTTGCATATCGAGTAAAGGTCTAATTCTGAGTCCTTATCTCCCACTCGGGCTGTATTTCTCTCCTCACCTCCCTCCCATATTGGTACCACACTTAAAAAAGGCAGCCTGATTTGCTAACCTAGTGAAGCAAAACAATGGGAACATTTCTGGGTGACACGACTGACACGCACAGCTTTCTGCTCACCCTCCTTTGCTGTGTAGTGTTCTGGCCTTTGGTGTGGCTCTTCATCCTCTGAAAAAAACGAAGGATCTTGTCAGTAGTATATATTCTGTCTCCTTTGACACTTCACCACTCTATCTCCACAGGCTTTGCCTATTTCCTGAGAGGCCGACATTACTGGAAGTTCGACCCAGTTCAGGTGAAAGTGCTAGAGGGTTACCCACGCCAGATCAGCCAGGACTTCTTCAGCTGTACACCTTCCTCCAACTCCTTCCGATGAAGAAAGGGGTGCTAATGGCCCCAGATTCTTCTCCTGCCTTCACACATCACCACCAGTCACCTCAAGAGATGTCCCACACTCTGACAAAGAAACCCCACTCCTGTCGTGCTCATCACTTAACACCATAGGTGGCACAAGTGGCTTGAGGCAGCTGTTAGTCTAAGGTGGAAACCTTAGATTCCAGGAGTTTGTACTCACAGCTTGGTATAGACATTAAAGATGACTGCAGCCTTGATGACTACCAGCTGCCTGCATTAAGGGTCGAGTGGCTGCTCTAACAGTTTTTTGGCACTGACATCCTAAAGACAAGAAGCCAACTTGGAATGGGGTCTGCTTCCATAATTATCTGGACACCATCCACTTAGAAAAGGGATTCCACTGGTATTTCTTTTGTTTACATTGTGTACAGCGGGGCTTCACTTACTGATGTTTGCGTCGGTGAGAACAGATTCCATCGATAATCCTTTCCTTAGCCTTGGCTGGGAGTTTTAAGTCAGTTGACTATGTGTTGAGAAATTCAGATATGTGCCCACGTTGCCAGGGTTACTTCAAGAGGACGGGGTGGGCTCCTGAATTTCAGCATCTTGTTCCGCGTCTAGTGATACTTCTGTTTTTGTATTGCATTTTAAGTATGTATTTTCATTTTATATGGATTTGTGAAAATACTACATACTTTTTTAAGGAAAAAAAAAAGATGCTAGGTTTCAGTGCTGGACGCTGCCTTGTATCTCCATGTATTGTTACTAACTCTGGGGGTCTCAGTAGGACACTAGATCACCACACGACCTGCAGAGGGTCTGAAAATTCACCACCAATTTCAGAACTGCACTTGGCCAATGTCCAGGTCTCGGTTCAGCTCTTTGTTCTCTCCCTATCACTGCAAATCATTGTGCAAACGACGATTGTTTTGTTCTTTTTTGTTCCTCCCCCTTTCTACCTCTCTCATCCATGCCATTCCTAGCCCTCCCCCCATCTCTCCAGTTCATTCCAGTTGCATCTGCTTCCCAATCTCATCGTTTCTGATGCTTGGTACAGATCTAAAAAAGAAATCAACAAAACAAACTTTTGCTGGTTGTTACAGTCCCAGGTAGCATGACGACATCCCATTACTGCTCTTCCCAACCGTCCTGGGAAGGGTAGTCCAGAGGGGGTTGAGACCTACTCAGTTATCCTTTCCATGTATCAGCTTTCCTTCAGAGCTAGTCAGCAGAGACAAGTGGGATTTAAACCTACCCACAGCAAATAAGGGATGTGGCTACATGGCCTGTACCACCCCTAGCCTGCATGGTCTGCCTAAGCACTAAAAATTTACCTCATTCATTTTTCAGGTCAAGGTTTTTGTCTTCTCAGTACCCATTTCTACAGCCATTCTTCTTCTGTATGTAAATGTTTGTAAAATGTGTATAAACCCTTTTTTATATATACTGTGTATATATTTATATGCTGTGCTGTATCAATGAATGTGATCTCTTTTCTATGCTCTGCCTGGTCTGAGTCTCTCAACATCAACAACAGCTTTAAAACCGGTCCCAACTCGAGACCTCGTCTTAGGCAGTGACGGAGCTGGAAACGCAAGTGGTATTTTTGTAACCAGGTCTCAACATGCTCAGTTGACCCAGTTTCATCAAATGCAGCAGCTGTGGCTACCAATTATCCTCACCTAATAATATATATCACTGCAGTAGTGTTTAGAGGCCTTTGATCAGGATGTAGGCAGGAAACTATGCCCTTGTGCTGAAGAAAAAAGTGAAGGAAAACTATAGCAAACACTGAGGACAGGCAAAGTCTGGGGAGCCCCTGCAGAGAGCTGCTAGTAATTGCTTGTTGCCAGCAGATCCAGGGAGATAATTATTCCCCTCTATTCAGCACCGGGAGGCCACATCTGGAGGACTGTGTCCAGTTTTGCACCCCCCAAAGGGATGTGGACAAATTGGAGAGAGTCCAGGAGAGGGCAAAGGCAGTGGCTGAGGGGCTGGGGGACACGACGCACCAGGAGGCCGAGGGAACTGGGCTCATTTAGTCATGGAAGAGAAGGCGGAGCCGGTTTGAGGGCAGCCTTCAACCACCTGCAGGGGGGCTGCCACGAGGACGGGGCCGGACTGTCCTCAGCGGTGGCAGGTGACAGGACAAGGAGCAAGGGTCTCTAGTCGCAGCAAGCTGAGGTTGTATATTAGGAAACACTCCTGCCGAGGACGGGGGCGAAGCCCTGGGACAGGCTGCCCGGAGAGGGGTGGGATCTCCAGCCTGGGAGGCTTTTAAGGACCTGCTCGGCAAAGCTTTGGCTGGGGCGATGCCGCTGGGGACGGCCCTGCTCCGGGCAGGGGCTGCACTCGATGCGACCCGAGCTCCCTCCAGCCCCCGGTGTGTGCGGCACCAACCAAGTGACCCCTCGGCGCTGCTGCAGCCCCCCGCTGCCGGCTGGCGCCAGACGAGCCAGGCAAACGCCGCGTGCAAAGGGTCTCAGCCTGCGCCCCCCTCGCCTCGCCTCGCCTCGTGTCCGCCCCGCCCACCCGGCGGGCCCGAGGGGGCGGGGCGACGCGTGCGCACTGAGAGCGCGGAGCAGGCCGCAGCCCGCCCAGCCCAGCTTGAGCCGCCGCCGCGTCCCGTCCCGTCCCATCCCCACCGCCACGATGATGATGATGGCGCTCAGCAAGACGTTCGGGCAAAAGCCCGTCAAGTTTCAGCTGGAGGAGGACGGCGAGTTCTACATGATCGGCTCCGAGGTACAGCCGCGCCGGGTCGGGCCGGGCCGCGCTGGGAAGCGCCCTGCGGTGGGGGGGAGACGGGCTGTGAGCGCCCCGGCACCGCCTGGACACCCCCCGATTGGGGCAGGGGGTCACGATGGGCACACGCGCGCGCACACACACACACACACACACACTCTCACTGATTGAAGCAGGGGGTCACAATGGGCGCGCACACACACGCCCCCCGTTTGGGGCAGGGGATCACGATGGGCACACGCACGCACACACACCCTGATTGGGGCAGGGGATCACAGTGGGCTCGCGCGCGCGTGCACACACACACACACACACACACACACACACACTGATTGGGGCAGGGGGGCACGATGGACACACACACACATGCACACCCCGTTTGGGGCAGGGGGTCACGATGGGCACACACACACACATGCACACCCCGTTTGGGACAGGGGATCACGATGGGCACATGCACACGCACCCTGAGTGGGGCAGGGGATTACAATGGGCGCACACACACACACCCACCCTGATTGGGGCAAGGAATCACAATGGGCGCGCACACACCCTGATTGGGGCAGGGGGTCACGATGGGCACACACCCTGATTGGGGCAGGGGGTCACGATGGGCACACGCGCGCGTGCACACACACACCCCCCTCGATTGGGGCAGGGGGTCACAATGGGCACGCACACACACGCACACCCCCTGATTGGGGCAGGGGATCACGATGGGTGCACACACGCACACACATACACCCTGATTGGGGCAGGGTGTCATGATGGGTGCACACATGCACCCCCCGATTGGGGCAGGGGTCATGTTGCTCACGCACACTCTCTCGCACACAAACACTTTGGCCCCTGACCGACCGACCCCCGAGTGAGGATAGACGAGGGGGGAGACTCCCCATGACAGCGCCTGGTCTCCGGGCACTCCGAGCCATCAGCAGCCCCTGCTGGGCCTGGCAGACAGGCCGCCAGCCCCACGGGGCTCGGGGCCTGATGAACAAGGCTGGATGGGGGTGAAAGAGCTGCCCCTCCCCCCCACCCCAACCAACGCTCTGGGCTCTAGGTGGGGAACTACCTGCGCATGTTCCGGGGCTCCCTGTACAAGCGGTACCCCTCGCTGTGGAGGCGGCTGGCCACCGTGGAAGAGAGGAAGAAAATCGTCGCATCTTCTCACGGTAAGGCCCCACGCATCTCGTCCTAACACCTCATGCACAAAAGGAGTGTCTGGGAATGGGACCGGGCAAAAACCATCTAATCACCCCCCACCCCTGAGGGAGCTCTCGTTGAATGACAGGAGACTAAGGCTTTTCTGACTTTTCTCAGGTGAATTTCATTTGCTGTAGCAAGCATCTAATCTAGTCTGCTTGCTCGCTGCTCCTGTGGTAACAGGGCAGGAGGGTCATGGTGCTTGTTTGGAAAAAAATATATCCCCCTGCTTTGTCTCCTCTCTGGGATCTCTCCACATGACATGGGAAGATCAGTGTGAATGGTCGCAGCTTCTAGAGCTGTTGTAATGTGAGAACTGCACCAATAGGAACAAAGCAAAGTCAAAATTTTGCTGTCTTGGGAGTTTGTTTCCTTGTTTCTCTCATGAAGGAGAACAAGCTACTTGAGTTTTTTGGGTTTTTTGGAAAAAAGAAACATAACCTTATAGAAACAACAGGCCTGGAGCATAACAGGCTTCTGTCTCCTTCTTCCTCTGAGTTTCCTGCTGACTTGTCGCTTTCTGTTTTTTTTTCCAATAGAGTCACAGCGGTCTCACAGTCCCAGAAGATGTAAGTCTTATCAGCCTATGTTATTCTTAGCTTTGCTGGACAACGAATCCCTGTTCTGACCCCTACTGCTGTACAAGCATATTCGCCTCTTCTGGGTCATTGGACTCGTTTGCCCTCTACTTTGGCTCTTGCTGCCTTGAAGAAGGATGTATTTTTCTTAGTGGTTGTGTTTGTTCACAAGCTTATGTGTGGGTTTTGTGGGCTGTCTCCAGATATGAGGGGGACTGCCAACCAGTCTCCCAGTTCTTGTTTTTACCTGGTTTTTACAGGCGCTTGTCCTATCTGCAGTGGAGTCTAGCTTTGACTAATGCTTTTGATTAGTGTGTGCAACAAGGGCACACTGCTGACTTGTATTCAGCTTATTGTCCACTGTAACCCCCAGGTCCTTTTCTGCAGAGCTGCTGCCCAGCCAGTCAGCCCCCAGCCTATACTGGTACATGGGATTGTTCCATCCTCTGTTCTGCATTTAGCTTTCTGTCTCCTTTCTAGCCCACACTCCAGGCCTCATTAGTTTCTAGGATGTCTCTGTCCTGCAGTGGGAGCAATCAAGCACCTCATTAAAGGATGCTACATGAGCATCAGGTCTTAAGTCCATGATGGCACTTGTGGATTTGTGGTACAGGAGTAAAGCTAGGTGTCAGCTCATTTTCCTGTCTGTAGTCATTTTATGTTCAAAAGAAGGAACAAAGAGAGTGGTCTTTAACTTGTTGCTGAGGTGTGGTCCCAGGTAAGCAGATTAAGAAGATTTTTTTTATATATCTACAGTGGGAACTCCAGGATAAAAGACATTTTCATCTGATGCACGTTAGATTTAATATTTAATGAGGACTTGGACATTTCCAGTCATTTTCTTGCAGGAATATTAAGGTTTGTTATTAAATAGCTCAAGATATTCCTTTTGTCCTTACAAAAAGTGGTGCTTGATTCTCTAATAATAGGCCTTAGCCTTCTGCTCTAGAAGCACTGGGTTCATAGCTGAGCTGTGGAAAAGCTTCATTCTGGCACTCTGAACTCTTGTTTGATATACTGATATCACAGCAGAGGTCTCCACTGTCTTTTGCAACAGGCCTAGTGCTGTACAGCAAGGTTACAGCATAAGGTCAATTAAGTACATTTGTAAGGACAGATGAGGGAATCTATCCTCGTCCCTACCCAGCAGCAGAATAGCAGTACTTTTGTCAGGCAGGTTCTAGCATAGCAAAACCCAGTCAAGTAAAGAGTAGATGTTCTGCTGCCATTCGCAAATTTTGTTCAATCGCCAGCATTCAGAGTTTTTGCATGGGGTCTACATCCTACTCCTCCCTGTCGCTTCAAGGTATTGAGTTAGGGTGCCATAATATAACCCACTAAAGAAACAGTTTTGCCTCACTTGACACCAGAATTAGAATGAAAGTTCTTAGAGTAGAGGCAGTCCCTTGGACTTGGGTAGGGCATAGGACAGTTGGGCTGGAGTGATTTGGAATTACTGTAGTATGAATGTTTCATGTGTGCCCTGCATAAGAACATAAGAATTGTCATTTACTGGGGCAGACTATAGGTCATCTTGCCCAGTATTCCATGTTGCACAGTGGCTGAAAGGGAGAGGAAGGGGATACACTGCGTACACAAGTGACGGATCAAAAATCTGCTTTAAAATGGAGCTGTTCTTAAAGGGATGAGATGAGGAATCCAAGCTACCAGCAGCTGTCTAGAGTCTGAAATAGGTTGCCAGTAGGATTGAAGGTTGAGTACCCCAGAATGCAGGAGAAGCCCATTAGAACAACTCTTCTGCTTGACAGTGTTTCTCATGTTAACCATTCCCATGCTTTCTGGTTACAGATCACGGTTATACAACGTTAGCCACTAGTGTGACACTCTTGAAAGCATCTGAAGTGGAAGAGATCTTGGATGGAAATGATGAAAAATATAAGGCAGTGTCTATCAGCACAGAGCCTCCCACCTACCTCAGGTAATGACTGTTGCTGAGGGTAAGATCAGTGGGAGTACTTCTGAAGAGCTGACCTACCCTGTTGGAGCTAACATCAAGCCAAGATGTTATTTAAGGGCTATTGCAACTTTGCATTGCTCAGCATGGCTCATGGTAATAGGTTTCATTACATGGAGATCTGTTGATAGGCAAGGATTTGTCTGCTTGTGTGAACAGATCTGGTCAGCTGGAAAACCTTGATACTTGGTGACATCGGTTATTCTCACTCAATTCTAATGTGTGGCATATGCAAAATACATGTATTCTGCACTGTTTTGCCATACTCTGAAGTTGTTTTCATATTCTCAGTGGTCCTTTTGCCACATACAGGAACAGAACCCAAATGTTAATCTGGTATTTAAAATCGGTTGTATGGGTGTATATCTCTTCTGGTAGGGAAGACGAAGTAGGCAATGATCCTGATGTGATGAAGAGAGAGATTTCCTCCTAGATAGAGTGGGAGACAGACATGGGACTTCAGCTTCTAGTCTTAATTCTACCTGACCTCAGACAGTTCTCTTAAAATTTCTTTGCTTGGGTTTTCCTGTCTGCAAATGGAGTGTCATGCATGATTGGGCTAAGTCTGTCATGGGTAGTTTATGAAGAATTTTGAGAACTTTGGGGAAGAAGCGGTACAAAATGACCAAGTGGCATTAGTTGTCATTTGGATCCTTCATTCCTGGCAGGGACCGGTAGGGATAGGTGAGTGCCTGAAACAAAGTAAAACAAGAGGAAATGAAGAGGTGAAGGGGAGAAGGAAGAACTGGCTGGTGAAATGGAACTAAGATATATGCTAAGTAAACTTCTGAGATGGTATAGCAATGCCTGTTACAGCTGGCTCAGATTAATTTTCAAAAACACTAGTCCATCACTCCCCTAACTGGATAAGTGTTCTCTTCCTTACCAAAGGGAGATTTCTGAAAGGAACCGTGCACCATTTAGCTTCCCCAGTCCCACTGTGGGAGCCCCCACACTGGCGTAGAGCTGCATAGACCTGCATGCTATAAATAGTGGTGTTCTGTGCTTGAGCATTTGCCACTTATTGTCTCTTTCCTCAGAGAGCAGAAGGCCAAGAGGAATAACCAGTGGGTGCCCACCCTGCCCAACAGCTCTCATCACCTCGATGCTGTGCCGTGCTCAACCACCATTAACAGAAATCGCATGGGCAGGGACAAGAAACGGACCTTCCCACTCTGGTAAGCCGCTCGCTGCATGACGCCCCATTAGGGAAGAGCTGTGTATTCTCTGAAACAATTACACTTGCATCAATGTCGGTCACCTCAGATGCTAGAACAAGCTGAATTGTGGTCCCACTCTACCTCCTGCCTTGGTGCATGTGTTCTAGTAACATCATACGTACTTTCTCTGTGGCTGGCAAATGTGTTGTGATTGTTTTATCTCAGAGAAAGCTTGACCCAAGCATTGAGGGAGGCAAACCTACTAACCCAGGAAGGACTTCCTCAATTTATTCATTGTCACATTGATGCATCTATTAACCATAAAGCAAAGGCATCTGCTATCGCCCTATGCCTGTAAGCCATAGTTGCAGAGTTCGCATAAAGACTGATTGTAAGGTGGGGGGGTGGGAATGCTCCTCTAAATTCTTTCCTTTCCCATGGATGCCAGTTCAATGTTTCAGATGCTCTGTGTCGTTATCTTTTGTGTTCAGCTTTGATGACCATGACCCAGCAGTGATCCATGAGAATGCGTCGCAGCCAGAGGTTCTAGTTCCAATCCGGCTGGACATGGAGATCGATGGGCAGAAGCTCAGAGATGCATTTACGTGGAACATGAATGGTAAGTAGGAGGCTGAGCTTTATCTAACGCACTTGAAGGGAGTGGGCAGTATCCATTCTAAAGTTGCTTTTGAGACACAAAGTGCACTCTTGCAGCACATAGGCACAGCTTTAAAGGCATCATGTTTCATTGGGGTCTCATTTTCTTGTCACATCCCTTCCGGTCCACGTGTCATTGCAGCTGATTGTAGTTATCACTGGGAACATGCTTGTAACCTAACACTATCTTTTGTAACGGGTCTGTTTTCCTTGCCCTGAGTCATGCACAGTGACTGCCCACCTTGATGTGACAGTCTTCTCCAGCCTTCAGAGGCCTACATACAAAAGCATGACAATAGATTCCTCTAGTCCAGGGGTTGCCAACCAGGGGTACGAGTACCCCTGGGGATACTTGGAAAGGTGCTAGGGGGTTTGCACAGGCGGGCAGGACTGAGCCACCACCCACCACCCCATGCCTCCTAGGAGCAGGTGCTGGGAGAGCTTGCACGCAGTGGCACGGGGTGGTGGATGGCGGCAGTGGCCACTGCCGCATGCAAGTCCCCTCCCACTCTGCATCCAGCCACCACCCCTGCCCTGCTCCACATCTGGCTGCTGCCACCAGAAGGGGTACACTCCTTAAAAAAGGTTGAAAACCCCTGCTCTATTCTCATTCCTAGGTGTTCTTTACTTGATTGCAGCTAGTATTCCCATTGAACAAATACAAGAAGTTGATGGTTGCTTAAGTACATTCATTGTTTAACATGGCAGAGTCTAAATGCCCTTCACGAGAGAGAGGTGAGAACCTGGTTAAATATCCTTCTGTACAGAACAGGCCTCATGATTTAGAATCAGTGATCAAATGGAAAACACCTAACTGGTGACTGCTTGCAGTGAAGTAAGTGAATATGTGTTTTTTCTTTCTCCATTGCCCTCAGAAAAGCTCATGACTCCAGAAATGTTCTCAGAGATCCTCTGTGATGACCTGGATTTGAACCCACTGACCTTTGTCCCTGCCATTGCCTCTGCAATCCGACAGCAGATTGAGTCCTACCCAACTGACAGTATCCTAGAGGACCAGTCAGATCAACGAGTTATTATTAAGGTAAGAAGGGAGGGAGGCTTGACCAGAGCTGGATTACTTTGTAGCAGCAATCTGGTGTGCTGGAAGGAAAAGCATGTGGGCTTAGAGAGCCAGGGAGTTGCTGCCTCCCACTCCTGTGTCTAGATTCTATCTCTAGCCTTTTGTGTCAGGGCCCTGGTGGCAGATTGGTGAATGCTGCTGGTCCGTGCCAGGAACTGATAACAAAGAGCTCAGTTTCCTTTAATATACAGAATGCTGCAGTCCCAAAGGAAGGAACACAGCTGCATCTTGTACAGGGGGGAGCTGGGACTCCTCACATTGTGGCAGGAAAGAGCCCAAAGACAGGAGTTTGAGTCACAGACAACCATCTTTTTTGCCCATTGCTTTTCCTTTTGGTTATCTTTACTTCCCCTCTAAATGAGTGTGACCTTGATGAGATAAATTTAAAAAAAAAGTGGGGGAAGAAGGGGGGTTTAAGAAGCAGAGTCTGACTTAGTCTCTGGTATTGTGTCCAGCTAAATATCCATGTAGGGAATATCTCCCTGGTAGACCAGTTTGAATGGGATATGTCGGAGAAGGAGAATTCACCAGAGAAGTTTGCACTGAAGCTGTGTTCAGAGCTCGGGCTGGGCGGGGAGTTTGTCACCACCATCGCCTACAGCATTCGAGGACAGCTGAGCTGGCATCAGAAGACTTACGCCTTCAGGTACAGAACAACCTTATCAGGCCTATGGCCTCTATAGAGCTGTTGGAGAGGTAGGGTGGCTGGGGCTCTGAAGTCTCCTTTTTCTTCATTTCTGCAACCCTTGGTGAATGTGTTAAATAGAGAGCATCTTTTATAGGGAATCAGCTTTGGAGGCTATTCAGATGTATTGTGCCCTGACTCCTGTTCTGTTCCTCCAAATAATTTTTGCTTGGTAACAGGATATTGGGTTAAACTCCTGGGTTCTTTTTCAGCATGTGAAACCCTCTGTTCATGAGACATCTGGTCCCTATAGGGATGCTGATCAGCTGGGGGATAAGCAGGAGGGAGATACATGAATGCCCAAGTAGTAAAGACCTCTTTCACACAAATCTGCTCTTGCACATTCAGTAAAGCCAGTGTTATGCATTGGCCATATCCTAGGCAGTGTTGGCAGCTTCCTAGAATGCCTCACTGCAAATCCTACAGATGCATCTCTTTTCTTCACTGTCTTGTGTGGTTCACTGGCTTAAAATGGCTGCTGCCACAGCGTGGCTGGGAAGCAGACACCTTGTTCTGCAGAACCAAAATGCCAAGCTTGCTTTGGAGAGATGCTGTTTCCGTGCAGTCCTCACTGATGTAATTCATGTCAGATGTGGTGCCCAGTTTGGAGAAGTCGAGCATACCCTGACTTGTATGAAATGTGCAGACCCAGCTTGGCATGACACAACTCAGCTGTATCAGGGCAGCACTTGGGGAAAACCTAGTTTCATAGTTTCTAGGGTCGGAAGGGACCTAGGCAGATCATCTAGTCCAACCCCCTGCCATGGCAGGAAAGAGTACTGGGGTCAAACGACCCCAGCAAGATGGTCATCTAACCTCCTCTTAAAAACCCCCAGGGTGGGGGCCTGCACCACCTCACTTGGAAGCTGGTTCCAGACCCTGGCCGCCCTGACTGTGAAGTAGCGCCTCCTGATGTCCAACTTAAACCTTCCCTCCGCCAGCTTGTGACCGTTATTCCTGGTCACTCCTGGTGGCGCTCGGGGGAACAGGGACTCCCCCAGTGCCTGTTGATCCCCCCTGACTAGTTTATAGCAGGCCACAAGATCCCCCCTCAGCCTTCTCTTCTGGAGGCTGAACAGGCTCCCAGAACTGGATGCAGTACTCCAGCTGCGGCCTGACCAGTGCCGCATAGAGGGGGAGGATCACCTCCTTGGTCCTGCTTGAAATGCATCTGTGGATGCACGACAAGGTACAGTTGGCCTTCCTAGCCGCCTCCCCACACTGCCGAGCCATGTTCATCTTGGAGTCAATAATGACTCCAAGATCGTTTTCCACCTCCGTGCTGACAAGAGGGGAGTTCCCCAGCCTATAGGTATGGTGCCGGTTGTTCCTCCCCAGGTGCATCACCTTGCACTTGTCTGTGTTGAACCCCATCCTGTTCTCCTCCGCCCATCCTTGTAACCTGTCAAGGTCCGACTGTAGCCTGTTGCTTCCTTCTATTGTGCCCACATCCCCCCACATCTTGGTGTCATCAGCAAATTTGAACAGGGTGCTTTGCACCCCCTCATCCAAATCACTGATGAAGATGTTGAACAGGGCGGGGCCGAGGACCGAGCCCTGCGGGACCCCACTGCCCATGTCCTTCCAGGCCGAGAAGGACCCATCCACTACCACCCTCTGGGTGCGGCTCTCTAGCCAGTTGGCGACCCATTGGACTGTGTGGGTGTCTACGCCACAGTCCCCCAGTTTCCTAATGAGAACGGGGTGAGAGACAGTGTCGAAAGCCTTCCGGAAGTCCAGGAAGACTATATCCACTGCTACCCCTGCATCCAATGATTTAGTGACCTGACTTTGAATGCTGCACCCCAGACCCATGCAGAATCCAGGACTTATCAGCTCTGGAATCTGTTTTGCATTATCAAAAATAGCAAATGCGTTGCCTTAAACGCCAGCCAATGCACAAAGCACCATTTGGGTTGAGAGCCTCGTTTTGACCTATACATGTGCTACATCCAGTCTACAGATACCCCCTAATACAAGTGCTGTGTTACTGACATTCGACCAAATTCTGGGTTACCCAAGCAGTAACGGTTTCTGTTTCATCTTGGTGATTAGAGGCGATGCAGACCTGTCAGTCACGCTCTCTTTTACAATGAGTACTGCTGGCTG